GTGAATAATTAAAGGAGCAATTAACAGAGCTGGTTATAAACGGCATCTATTGACTGACAGCATGAGCGCCAGTGTCCCCTCAGAGCTGCGCGTTCTCGGCGCACAATAAAACCTCTGCAGCTCAGAAAAAAACTAAATCCAACATCAACTGTAAATCAATCAGACCGATATATATTTTTTCTCTATTATTTGAATCAATCGTTTTATAACCTGAAACCAAACGATGAAAATAGGAGAAGCAGCTGTTGTTCCCACCGCGCTTCCTCACATAGAGGAGAAACTGAGCGCAGTCTTTACCAGCTCACATTAAATATAATAATAATAATAATAATAATAATAATAATAATAATAATAATAATAATAATAATAATAATAATAATGGAATAGATTGATCATTATCAGCTGTTGAACGTGTCTCCAGTTTCAGTCTTAAAGCGTCTCATCCTGCAGGATGTTCCAGCTGCTTTGCTTCATTAAACAGAATTGAACTGCTCTGGCCTTTGATCTAATGCCAGTTTTATATTTCCCTATTCAATCAGTTTTACCATAAAGATGAATATATTTAAGAGCTGATTTGGATGAAAGTGTTTAAAAGAACTGCAGCGTCCTTTAAGAAAAGTTCATCAATGTTCTTATTCAGCGGATCAAAGAGCTCCAGGTGGATAAATCAATAATCCCACAGGAAGGAGACTGTGTGGCCCAGATTATTTAGCAGTCTAGGCTTCCAGAACAATGAAGCTCACAGGTTTCTAACAGCCCTGCTGTCCAACAAGCACCTGTAGGTGCACCTGTTCACCGCGCAGCGCCATCCTCCATGGGACTTTCATCAATTAAACCATGAAGCCAAAACATCATCAGGAGCCAATCAGCACGTTCTGCTGCCTGCAGCTCTTAGATTTCTACTTTTCAATTTTTCCAATTCAACTTATGAAACCAAAATCGTAACAATCTCCTTTTCTTCCTATGTATGATGGGATATGGTCTCCAAATGGTTCAACAGAAAAAGAATAAATTTAAAACACCAAAGCCTGCATTTAAAAAAGAAAGTCGCTTTAACATCATTTATGATCCATTCTTTATTCATGAAAAATACTGATGGAGAAGATTCTAGGATTTGTCTTTCTACCTATCTGTGTGTTTATTAATGAGTTCATGCTGATAACTAAAAGGTTGTTGCATTTGTAATAATCACACAATTTCGGTCAATATAATTTATTTTTAGATGCTTTCGTTGGCATTTAAATAAACTATACACCCATCTTCCTCCTCTTATCCAGGGTCGGGTCGCCGGGGCAGCAGCTTAAGAAGGGAGGCCCAGACCAGACTTGGGCAATGTGGAGTCAACAAGTCATCTCCATGTCATGTATTTGTTCTACCCAGCCACTGAAGCAGGTGAGTCCAATCTTCACCGTGAATTAAGCTGTGCAGATTGGACTCACCTGGTTAATTGGCTGGGTAGATTAAATACATGACACGGAGATGACTTGTTGACTCCACATTGCCCATGTCTGGCCCAGACTTCCCTCTCCCCAGCCACTTCTTCTAGCCCCTCAGGAGGAACCCCAAGGCATTCCCAGGCCAGCCGAGAAACATAGTCTCTTCAGCGTGTCCTGGGTGTTCCCCGGGGCCTCCCCCCGGTGGGACGTGCCCGGAACACCTCACCAGGGAGGCGTCCAGGAGGCATCCTAACCAGATGCCCGAGCCACCTCAACTGGCTCCTCTCGATGTGGAGAAGCAGCGGCTCTGACAGAGCTTCTCACCCTATCTCAAAGGGAGAGCCCAGCAACCCTACGGGGGAAACCCATTTCGGCCGCTTGTATCTGCGATCTCGTTCTTTCGGTCATGACCCAGGGTTCATGGCCATAGATGAAGGTAGGAACGTAGATCGACCGGTAAATCGAGAGCTTCGCTTTTTGACTCAGCTTCACCACTACGGACCGCTACAGCGTACGCTTCATGGCAGACGCTGCGCCAATCCGCCTGTCGATCTCCTGCTCCCTTCGTCCCTCGTTCATGAACAAGATCCCGAGATACTTAAAATCCTCCACTTGGGGCAGGACACTCCCCCCGACCCGGAGAAGGCACTCTACCCTTTTCCGGCTCAAGACCATGGCCTCGGATTTGGAGGCACTGATCCCCATCCCGGCCGCTTCACACTCGGCTGCGAACCGATCCAGCGAGAGCGGCAGATCACGACCTGATGAAGCCAATAGAACCACATCATCTGCAAAAAGCAGAGACACAATCCTAAGGCTACCAAAACGGATCCCCTCAACACTTTGGCTGCGCCTAGAAAATTCTGTCCATGAAGGTAATGAACAGAATCCGTGACAAAGGGCAGCCCTGGCGGAGTCCAACTCTCACCGGAAACGAGGCAATGCGAACCAGACTCTGACACCAGTCATACAGGGACCTGACAGCCCATATCAAAGGGCCCGGCACCCGTACTCCCGGAGAACCCCCCACAGGGCCCCCCGAGGGACATGGTCGAACGCCTTCTCCAAGTCCACAAAGCACATGTAGACCCACCGACCCACAACGTCCCGAGTCGAGGTCAGCAGCACATCATCCCCACTATAAACAGTGTTGGTGCTGCACCGCTTCCCCCTCCTGAGACGCTGGATGGTGGACCAGAATCGCTTCGGAGCCGTATGGAAGTCTTTCTCCATGGCCTCTCCAAACTCCACCCACACCCGAGTTTTTGCCTCGGCAACCACCCGAGCCGCATGCTGCTTCGCCCGCCGCCGGTACCCATCAGCTGATTTCGGAGTCCCACAGGCCAAAAAGGCCTTATAGGACTCCTTCAACCTGACAGCATCCCTCACCGGAGGTGTCCACCAACGGTTTCGAGGGTTGCTACCACGACAGGCACCGACAACCTTGTGGCCGCAGCTCAGATAAGCCGCCTCGACAATGGAGGAACGGAACATGGTCCACTCGGACTCAATGTCCCCCACCTCCCCCGGGATATGTTCGAAGTTCTGCTGGAGATGAGAGTTAAAGCCCCGCCTAACAGGGGACTCCGCCAGACGTTCCCAGCAGACCCTCACAACACGTTTGGGCCTGCCAGGTCTGACCGGCATCCTCCCCCACCACCGGAGCCAACTCACCACCAGGTAGTGGTCAGTGGAAAGCTCCGCACCTCTCTTCACCTGAGTGTCCAAGACATACGGCCGCAAGTCCGATAAAACGATGACAAAGTCGATCATCAACTGCTGTTCGGCCCGTAAGCACAGACAACAGTCAGAACCCGCCCCCCCACCCGTAGGCGGAGGGAGGCTACCCTCTCGTTCACCGGGGTGAACCCCAACGTACAGGCGCCGAGATGGGGCGCAACAAGTATGCCCACTCCTGCCCGGAGCCTCTCACCATGGGCAACTCAAGAGTGGAAGTATGTCCAGCCCCCCTCAAGGAGACTGGTTCCAGAACCAGAAGTTGAGGTGAGACCGACTATTTCTAGCCGGAACCTCTCAGCCTCTCACACTAGCTCCGGCTGCTTCCCCACCAGCGAGGTGACAAAAATGAGAAATCTCCTGAGAAATCTCCTGTCCAGGGGTGATGCTGAGAAACTAGCCCATGCATTTGTTACTTCAAGGCTGGACTATTGTAATTCTTTACTATCAGGAAGTCCACAAACTGTAGTTAAAAGCCTTCAGCTGATCCAAATGGAAGAAAGATCTTTTAGTTATCAGGCTCCTCTCCTGTGGAACCAACTACCAGTTTTAGTCCGTGAGGCAGACACCCTGTCTACTTTTAAGGCTAGGCTTAAAACTTTCCTTTTTGATAAAGCTTCTAGTTAGAGTGGCTCAGGTTATCCTGAGCTATCTCTATAGTTATGCTGCTATAGGCTTAGACTGCTGGAGGACATAGGGACCCCTTTTTCATCATTCTATCTCTATTCTCCCACTCTGCAGAATCTGTTAGTTCAATCTCTAACGTTCTGCTCTCTCTGCTTTTTCTCATAGTAGCTTCATCTGGTCTGTTCCTGTTTGGCTGTGACTCCATCCTGGAGAGAAATATCAGCTGTGCTGCTGCCATCAACACCTTTGTTTCTAGATGTTGGAGCTTGCCTGTTTTTCAGTGTAGTCCTGTTTCTCTGACTGTGACTAACTGGATGTGCTCTCTTCATCCTCTGACATGGGAGCTGGCTCGGAGCTCGTCTGCCTGGCTGTGTGTTTTCCTGTGGAGCTGGTTGACAGTTGCCTTCTGTATCTATGCTTCTTTTTCTATGTCTGCTTCTGTCTCCTTGAACACCAGTCGGCCTCAGCAGATGGCCGCTCACACTGAGCCTGGTTCTGCTGGAGGTTTCTTCCTGTTCAAAGGGAGTTTTTCCTTTCCACTGTCGCTACAAGCATGCTTAGTGTGAGGGATTGCTGAAGAGTCAATGAGTCGATGCAATCAACTGGTTTTCCTTAGATAGAAAACTTTGAATCAATCTGACTGGATGATCTGGTGAACTAGAAAGTGCTTTGAGATGACGTGTTGTGAATTGGTGCTATAGAAATAAAATGAATTGAATTGGGTTTTGTTTTGTTTTTGACCCTTTAATAGATATATGAGGTCAATTTTTATTTATGGACATAATCCTTCAAGTAGAGCATGAAACGGGCCTTGAAAGTCAGCCCGAAACCGACCCAAGTCCGAAAGAACCAGGCCCGTGCCCGGCCCGTTATGATTGACAGCTTCGTAGAGCCCGACCTGTTTGCAGCCCGACATTTTTCAATTGTGCGCATTAAGGGCTAATCTCCGTTTCACTTCTGTAACATCCATTTTGCATTCATCGCGTATAGATCGAACGTTATCACATGATCATTTATTTGCCGCGCATATAACGGTTTAAAGCCCGAGCCCGGCCCGAATGAAATAATAAAAAGTACAGCCCGAACCCGGCAGGACCTCTCGGGTCCCGTCGGGTTCGGGCTAATATTCCCTGCTCTACCTTCAAGTGAAACAATTTTGTAATTTTCAGATGAAAAGTGAAATAAAAGAACAAAAGCAGGCACATTTGTCTTGATTATTATTATAGGATTTAAAAGAACCATAAACAGTCAAGACTTTCAGCCTCCATCTGTACAGTAAATATAAACACCATTTACAAAACACACCAATATAAACAATGATGCAGGAAAGCTACAGTTTGAAAGCATCATATTAGGATTGTGATATAAGAATGGATTCAGAAGCAGACTCAGAAGCAAGAGAACCAAAAGCTCCAAAACCAAAGGAAAAAACTGTTTGTCATCTATAAACAAATACAATTAAATAGACATGTTGCCTCATGAGTAGCTGAATGTGAGTCTGTGTGTGAAAAACACATTAGAGAACATATTACTGAGATCTCCAAGAACGATGAGCTCAAGTTGCTAAAAAGCTTGTGCTGTCTGCCAGAGTGAAGGTCCTGCAGTCCCATCAGGTGCTTTCAGGACATACGGAGGAGTAATCAGAATGAAACAGCGCCTCCTGCAGTCTGACCAAAGACTTCAGTGGATCCTCTTGAACAGGAGCTTCAGGCTGGGAGGACATCTTGGAGATGTAGCCTTGGTCAGACCCACTGCTTGAACGTGGGGCGGTTGGCTCTAAGAGTTCCTCCTCCATTTCCACTGGGCGTCTCTGCACTGGAAAGTCATCCAGGCTTGGTGAGGAACCTCTCTCATCGTCCTCCGTACAGTTCTGAAGTGAGGATGGTTCCCTGAGCGAAACCAAGTTCTGTTGAAGCAAAGGTTGTTTCCCCAGAACCGGCTGGGCTATGTACAGAGACTCTGCCGTGGAGCGCTGGGGGTCTGCTATTAACACCTCCACCTGGCTGGGTTGGTAGAGAGGCCTGCAGTCAGAACTCACATCTGGTACCAGTTCAGCCACTGAGGACAGCTGATGCTCTGGGTTTAAATGAGGCGTAAGGATGTGAACAGAGTTGATCTCTTCCTTCGTATCAACGCTGTGAACGTAGACTGGAAGCTGATCTCTGATTGGAGGGATGCACTCAAGGACAGGAGGGGTCTGCAGTGGTGGGAGGAGCTGGTTGGTCTCAGAAAGGACTTCCTCCACATCGCCAACCACCTCCTTTGCGAACCAATTGGGGTCCTCTATCTGATAGGCGTGGAAGGTTTCTATGGCATCTCTGAGGGCTTTACCTGAGGCACAGTTGAAGTATTCATCCACTCCGATTCCCTCGATGTGATTGACATGGCCCGGCTGATACCTCTCGATGTCTAAGATGCGGAAGTAGAGTTCCTCAAAGTGCTTCATCAGGATGTATTTGATTCCAATGTCAAAGACGGAAGGTACGTCTCTCTCACTGCAGATGTCCTCAAAGTAAGCCACCATGTATTTCCCCAACATGCCCGCCTGGTGCAGGTCCGGCAGGAAGAGATTGAGAAAGGGAGTCAGCATGTCATCTGTAGGAGACAGCAGATCCTGCTTCAGAGTCACCCGACCATGACCACACATGGCCTTCCACTTGGCCTGAACGCCAGGAGAGCAAAGCACCAGGATCTTGTCCGACGGGTCCAGCTGCTGCCGCTGCCACTCCAGCCAGCGGAGACGACCCAACATGCTGACGGAGGAGTTGTCCAGCAGGTCTACAACCACCTGGGTGCCACATTTGTCCTGGAGAAAGGCGCATAGTTTGAGCACTACGTCCTTGTAGAGGCTGTGGTCATGGGAGTAAATGACCATCACTTTGGGAGCTTGTTTGAGCTGCACCCGCAGTACTCCACCTTCTTCTTTAGATTCAATGTTGGGACGTTTACCTAAAGGCAGATAAGACAATCTATAAGCATTGTCCTTCAGACCACAAACACACAAAGTTTAAAAAGATTAAAGTATTGGGGTTTCATACCATGTTTTCTGCAAAGGATGCACATTATTACTGCCACTATGATGAACATGGCCACGCCTCCAACAGCCCCATACCAGGACGTCAGGGAACGTGTCTGGGTGGTGTTCGCTGTAGGAAAGAAATTATAGTTCTATATGTTATATTCGGCTAATAACATATTAACTACTTGAAATAAGATGAGGGATTTTTTTGTTGTTGCTTATTCTAAATATAAATCATCTAATATTGGTAAATGACCTACCTGCTCAAATGGAGGCATAATAAACCCTTTTTACAAGAAAACCGATTAATATGTCGATTTTTGTAGTTTATGCTTTCAGCACAGGGACCCTAACAGGGGCCGGGTGGGTGGGGGGGTGAACCATTACACAGTACTAGGCAGTTGCCTAGGACCCCAAATTTTCCCAAGAGCAGTGTTGCTAACTTAGCGCTTTAGTCGCTATATTTAGCCACTAGAACTTTGATTTCTAAAAAGCTCCTAGCGCCAAATCTAGAGACTTTTTTCTACTACTGGAGACTTTGGAGACAACATCTAAAAGCAGCGAACTCTGCTCTCCAGAGCGAGTAGATTGGTAACCCCGCCTCCTGCTCTCCTCTATCTTGTCAAAGAGTCAAAACCTAGAACAGATAATGGATGTCTATTCTATTAACATTTCTCTATCTGTAGAATGGGTCTGTTTTAGTAGCCTGGTGAGACCATCCTGATCTCGCGAGCTTTCAAGGTTTCACTCGCAGATCAGTCTGGAGACTCTCCGTTAAAGAAAATTTGGGGCCGTTCACCAAACGAACGTCCAATCAGCATTGGCTTTGAGGCGGGTTGAGGTGTGACGCAACGAGAAGCGCGACAGTTCAGTCTAAAGAATATGGCGGCTTCCGCCGATGAAACTAGCGTTAGCGTGGCTATCGAGCAAGTTTTATCGGAATTACAGAGTATTTCTTCACTAAAAGAAGAGCAAAACACTGCTCTGGAGGCTTTTCTCAGAGGAAAAGATGTTTTTGCTCTTCTCCCGACTGGTTTCGGCAAGAGTTTGATCTATCAATTGGCTCCTCTTCGTCGTCCCTCTGTTAGTACGTCATATGCTTCGTTGATCTGATTGGTTTATTTGGCCCGTCTATCACCAACATAGGCCAATCAGCTAACCAGTATTTTCACCCCTTCCCAAAATTACTTCAACGGAAGGTTTCCAGATGGATATGGGGAGCAAATCCATCTGGCGGAGTCAGGTTACTGTTTTATGTGTTGTCTTCTGAATTCAGAAGACAACACATTTGCCTTTGCCTAGGGCCCCAAATTTCCTAAATCCACTCCTGGTTATATGTACGCTGGTTGGAATTTTCTTTCCAAATGTACTTTCATTTTGTCGTTCAAATCAACAACCAATGCTGAGCTGCCTTTGGAAGGTAATTTACTGTAGACATCTGTGTTAGTACAAATGTGGGGAACATTAAGACTGATTTAAACAAACATCGACCAATAATTATTATTCCAACCTTAAACTTTCCACATTTCATAAAAACAACCTTTCTAAAGAGTTGGACATCAACTGGAGTTGGATGGGGATTAAAAGAGTTTGTTTAAAATGTTCAATACCTTGACAAACGCTGTGACTTGTTTTGTGACGAGTGCAGTCATTTCCACATTTCAGGAAATAAGGTTTAATCTGCAGGAGAACAAAAGTCAAAGGTAAGATAAAAGGTGCAGAATTTGAGATCTGTGGGAGAAATGAAGGCCGTTTACCTCTGCATCAAACAGGCAGCAGGATCTGGGCCATTTATCAAGGCTGAACTTTACATTTACGCTCCCCTGTTTGTCCTGAGGAGGGAAATGTATACTAGCATTACACAGATGTACGCAGATATGTGTATAAATAAATAAATATATGTGTATATTTGTACAGTTTTTGCCATGAAATGCAGAAATGATGCTGATCCGCAGTGAGATGGAGCTGCTTTGTAGCTCTCTATCCTGAAGCCAAACAAATAGAAGTGGGATTATAAGCTCACTATAGTGAACCGCGCTGCCTTGGCAATTTGTGCTGAAGGTCCTAGAAAGAAAAGGCGACGACGCATTTGGAAAAAGGACGTGGCTGTGCAGGCGCGGCTGCTGCGGTCCATCAATTTTACAGACGGAGCTGCATTTCACTCATTGCATCCATGCCATGCTGCTGTGTTTACATCAGAGAGGAAGAATAAAAAGAAGAATCCTTCTTTGCTCCCTGAGCGATTTGCCCACAATAGTCGGGGGAAAATCAAACATGTTTGATGTGCTCTCTTCATCCTCTGACATGGGAGCTGGCTCGGAGCTCGTCTGCCTGGCTGTGTGTTTCCTGGACGGGGCCGCCTGTGGAGCTGGTTGACAGTTGCCTTTTGTATCTATGCTTCTTTTTCTATGTCTGCTTCTGTCTCCTTGAACCCCAGTGGGCCTCAGCAGATGGCCGCTCACACTGAGCCTGGTTCTGCTGGAGGTTTCTTTCTGTTCAAAGGGAGTTTTTCCTCTCCACTGTCGCTACAAGCATGCTTAGTGTGAGGGATTGCTGAAGAGTCAATGAGTCGATGCAATCAGCTGGTTTTCCTTAGATAGAAAACTTTGAATCAATCTGACTGGATGATCTGGTTAAATTTTCTGTGTTGCCATCAGTTATAAAACTAAGAAAATTAAATCTAAGGAAGTTATTATCCAGAATTCTAGAAAATGTTCCTTTAATTTGCATTACTTTTACTTTTGTACTTTAGTTTTTTTTTTTTTTTTTTTTTGTTAGTTTTACGCTCCAGTAAAAAGCTGAATTTAATACTTTAACTTCTACAAAACTGTTTTTAAACTGTAGGATTTATACTGAAGTAATAAACAGACTTCTGTCCTTTTAAGTTAAGCCTAAATAAACCAATTGATCAATTGCATTTCAAAGATATTAGATTTGATAATAAGAAATTAATCTTCTTCATTCAGCAGCTGCAGCCAGTTTTCAGCAGGTTCTCCAAAGAGTTGATGAACATGATCATTCCCACTCATTCATGTAGACGTTTGGAAGCGGCTCCCTTATAAAATCGGTGATAGGCGTGAGGTTGGGTCTCACCGTTTTCACACTGAGGTTCTCTGTGATGGAGCCACATTTCATGATAACCAGGTACTCCTTAGACAGGACGTGAGGGCTGAAGCGGACCGCCAGGGAGCCGTGGGCGGTCCCATCAAAGCTGATGTTAGGCTCCCACAGGCTGCCTGCAGGGATAGGATGGATTATTAGAAGCTTTAACACTTTAAACTTCACTGAAGAGGAAGACGTTTAACTCACCTCCCTCAATGCAAAACTGGGTCATCTTCATTTTGCTCTGTCCGCAGTCTTAAAGAACAGACCACAAGTCATCCATTTATTCAGCAGGAAAAACAATAACACAGTTTGGCAGGAAATGACCAAAAAAAAGGAAGGAATTCTGTGCCTGAGGCAGTGTGGATCTCCCCACCTCCTCCTGGACCGACTCACCTGGGACCCGGATGTCTCTGCTGACGTCGATGCTGCTGTGGCCCTGCTCTGGTTTGGGGATGTTGTAAACGGACACGGCGTACTGCTCACCAGGATTCAGCACCAGCGCAGCGGACGAGAACGACCACTGGAACCAATTGGAAACACGACAGGACAATTTTTAGAGACTGAACCAGAAACCCCCCGAAGCTGCAGCTTTGATCACCTTCACTACGTCGGTTCAAATCCATTCCCTGGAAATCCCTTCATTATACTGGATTTACTTTCTAAAAGTGTCACTCAGGTGTTTTCTTCTTCATCAGGGATTATCTGGAATAGTTTCTCCTAACAGGCCAGACTACCTTTATTCAACATTTTACTGTTTTCTTCAGCTGTCTGCAGTGTGTTTGGGTTAACTGGAAACCTTCACAGCTTTCAGTTAGAGAGGGAAAATCAGAACAACATGGAGCTGTTTATGATCATCTTTGTTCTCATCTTTGCAAAGATCAATAAAGTCAATAACCATCCATCCTTTATTTAACTGGTGCAGAGTTGAACACTTCTTTCCTTTATCACCATTTCATTGGTTTCATATAAACTCCAGAGATAAAGACGATGCACAAACATTTAACAATGTTTGCAGAGGTGGAAATGAAACTATCAACCAAACCAACTTAATTTCTTAGACTGTGTCTGGCTGTTAGCTACCTGCTAAACATCTGTTAGCTGCAAGCTAAACAGCTGTTAGCCACCTGCTAAACAGCTGTTAGCCGCAAGCTAAACAGCTGATAGCTGCAAGCTAAACATCTGTTAGCAGCCAGCTAAACAGCTGATAGCTGCCTGCTAAACACCTGTTAGCAGCCAGCTAAACAGCTGTTTAGCTGCTAAAAGATTCTAACTAAGGCAGAGCTTTGTTTTCTGTGTTTTCTTTCATAGAGCCTCACCTTCTCTCCTGACGGGCTCCTCATCTCCAGTTTGTCTTTCAAAGAATATCGCAGACACATCTGCTGGTTGGTGGACTTCACAAGAAGATGAAGCTCAGTGGCCTTCAGGAAACTAATGCTACCTGTTGAGAGATGCAGATGTTAGTTTCTGTGTTCACAGGGTTCAGGTGGAAGACATTTAACACATGCATACTGAAATATTGAAGAACAAAATCCTGCTAAAAACCAGGAGACAGACGGACTCACCATCGTCCTTCAATGTCCAGTTGGCCTGAAGGACCGGCTGCAGGTGTCCTGCATCATCTAGTCTGGTGTCTATTGACACCTGGAGATCTGCAGGTTCGCTGGGGGTGTACCTGTGGCTCACCAGCCACCCAGGGTCCATGCAGTTACCTGCAGACACAAACAGGCATGCAAAGGTTATAGACAGCTTGTTTTGGGTTTAACTGTAAAATGATTTAACACGGCTTAATATTCTACATATTAGATGTGATTCTTGTCTAGATATAGAAAAATATAGAAAATAGGGATATTTTCTGTTACAAGAATCTCACATTAAAAAAGGTAAGCACTTCTAAACCTTTTCAAAATAATAAAAAAAAACCTTCAAAGTAAAACAAGTATAACAATCAATGATCAAAGAATATAGTGTCCTATGGTGATGTAAAAAAACTTACTGTATTTAGTTGTACAATTCACATCCTGTATCAGGAACAAAGAGAACAAATGTTATTCTTAGACATTCAAAGGATAAAAATGAAGGCAGATTAACTCAGATTTTATTCCCTAGGCTTTAATGACCCGGTAATAAACATCTGGGTCCGTATTCACAAATAAAACGTCAGAAAACAGTAACCCTGAGGAACGCCATTTTAAAGAGGATTGAAGAATTTCTCAGAAAACTAAACATATTTCCCTCCTTGTTCCTCACAAAGTATTAATAATATTTTTTAAATATATTTTTATCATTGAGAATATTATACAGTTTCAAATTAGGGCTGGGCAATTCATTTCATTTTGCAATTTAATAAAACCCAATTTTCAAATCGCAAAGGCATTCAATTTTAATCACACTTTACTTAATAATAGTAAGACACATTTCCAACTCCAGCCCTTTAGGTGGCGCTAAGACGCTTAGAGTGGGTTTGTCCGGCACAGAATGGTAGATAGTTTTGCGGCTAGCCTGCAGGTTTGTGCACGCAAGTAAAAGCAAACACTTTTTCCACACAAAGGCAGCAATACTCTTAAAGTGGGTTTACCACCAAAAAGAAGGAGGGAGAGAAAGTTGCAGAAAGCACAGAAATGATAGTAGAAGTGAAGCCTTTCGGACTTCCAGGTAAAAGTAAAATCCCCTTTAAATATAAAACTTTAAATAAAATGGGAATATCGTAATAAGTGGAGAGGGCACACTGAAAATCTGTAAGAAAAATGAGAGAGAAGTGCTGGAATCAGAGAATACGAAGAAACGAAGAAATGGTAGAAGGACCAGTGAACATCAGCAGCGCGAGAAAAAAACACCTGGAGGATTGAAGCTGAATCATGTCTGATGAAAACAGCATCAGCACTAAGCACGGTGGTGGCGGGGTCATGATTTTAACACAAGTCTTTCATTAACAGCTCCTCTCTACACTAAAGGGTCAAATGTGAAGGTCCAGCTGGGTCATCAGCAGCAAACGGTGGGGAGTGGTGGGGAAAGGTGGGGCGCGGTGTTTTTCAGGGGGACAGAAAAATAAAAATGATTGTGATGAAAACCTGGTCATATCCTAGTATGGCGGAAGTTTTAAGGTGACTTTAGTTTTTAGAGTCACTAAAGCTGAATGATTAAATTGGTCTAAATCAATTATCATCAGTTATATGCTATATCTGTTTGGAGATGGATACACTAATGCTACGTTCAGACCGGACGCAGCAAAAGCAGCAAAATCGCGTCTGCTGCTTAATTTTTGCTGCTTGTACCAGTTAGTTCTGACGCGCGGCTGAAGCAGCTTTGCTGCTCTGGCTGCGCGGTGCAAAAGTGTGTCTGACACGCGTTGGGCGGAGCTTCACTATTCTTTCTCTGCCTTGCAGCTATATTTGCTGTGATCAGTGGGAATAAAGTAGTTTTAATATGTTTTTAAGTGAGAAAATACACCTGAAAACGTAATCAGTGCCGTCAGTTCATCCAGATTACAATCCTGCCTCCCGATGTCGGAGCCGCTCAGACCCCCACATACCAGCGGTGCGCCGACAGTAGGAATCCCTTCATCAGCAGCCTCTGGCCGGGTCGCCTCCTCGCGGTTTACCGCGGCGGCTGGTAGGTGTTTTTCATCTAAATAATCCGATCTGCAGGCACCAGAATAATAAAAGCGAACATATTCTGCCGGCAGATGTATGCATTTTAAGTTAATTATGCGTTAATAAACTGTTTAAGAGGAGTGATCATCAGCACTGTGTCTCTCTCCCTGCAGCTCCCAGATCAGTTTCTCTGATTGGTTGACGCGGCGCGTCGAGCAGCAAAAATTCAATTTTTCCATCTCGAGCAGCAGCGTCAGATGCTTAAACGCGCCCGACGCGCTGCTTCAGCTGCTCAGACGCGCTGCACCTGCTGCTCAAAACGCGCCGCGGGACCTTTTGCCGCGCCTTGACGCGCGTCAACCATTGACTTTGCATGTAAACTCGCTGCTTCTGTTGCGCCAGCTGCCCCCGGTGTGAACGCAGCATTAGATAGAGAGGATTGCTTTAGAGAGGGCTCCATCTAAAATAAGTGCAATAATCTGCCAATGCTGTGATACAATCACACTTCTTGAAATCATGATAAATATTCTTATAACAAGGAGAATATAAACCTCAAAATTCTTTCATGTGATTTATTTTGGTATGACAGCAAAAAGTCGTAAAAGTAAGGAGTTCTTTAAATTAGCAGGTAAATAACATCATCTGCCAAAGAAAATTGTTTTTTCCTTCAAAATAAGATAATTACAAATTAACTACCTGAAATAAGATGAAGGATTTTTTGTTGTTGCTTATTTTAAATTTAAATCATCTTATATTGGTCAATTAGCTACCTGCTCAAATGGAGACATAATACAGTCTTTTTACAAGAAAATGTATTTATATGTCAATTTTTGTAGTTTATGCTTTCAGTACAGAGATCCCAACAGGGCCGGGGGGGTTTTACCATTAGATAATACCAGGCAGCTGCATAAAACTCTGTTTCCATGTATGGTTAATACAACTATTCCTTATTTCTGCACATTTATTATGTTTTTGATATAAATCCTTTGGCTAAAATACCATCAGGACTCTGATAATATTAAGTGTGTCTCAGCCCCCCCCCCTTCAGTGTCCACCATATTGGATCAGTCCATTTGCTGCACATGTTCAGAAAGGTCCAAACAGACAGCAGCAAACCATTTGAAAACAAACCATGCAAAGAGCAGTGTTGCCAACTTAGCGCTTTAGTCGCTATATTTAGCCACTTTTCAGACCCCTCTAGCACTTTGATTTCTAAAAAGCTCCTAGCGCCAAATCTAGAGACTTTTTTCTGCTACTGGAGACTTTGGAGACAACATCTAAAAGCAGCGAACTCTGCTCTCCAGAGCCAGTAGATTGGTAACCCCGCCTCCTGCTCTCCTCTATCTTGTCTGCTGTCATGATTCATGCAGCTATTATTTCATCCAAATGAAAAATGGAGAACAGATAAGCAGATCATGGCTTGTCTACAGTGAAAAGAAGGACTGGGTTATTTACTTTGGCCTTTTTGGAAACACAGGAAGGAGCAATCAGCTAAGTGAGCTTAGTGCTTGGAAACAATCTTTCATTCCTTTAGAGACAGCATGAAAAGACAGCTGAGTACAAAACATAGAGAGGAAAACAAGAAGAAAAGGGACAAGAAGAGAGGGACACAACCTAGAACAGATAATGGATGTCTATTCTATTAACATTTCTCTATCTGTAGAATGGGGCTGTTTAATGTGTTGTCTTCTCAGTTCAGAGGGGCCCCTGCTTGTCTTTGCCTAGGGCCCCACATTTCCTAAATCCTCCCCGGACCAGGGCCTGTCCTCTAGAGGCGCTGGCCCCCTGTTGGCCCCAGGCTAGAACCGCCTATGTCAGCAGCAGCTTCCAGGTTCTAGACGCAGAAAAAGTCTAAAAACCTGATTAATGGAGAAAGAGGAGCCGCGGGTTTAAATTCTAACAGTTTGATCAAACCTGACTTTTTATTCTAAAAAATAAATAGTTTAATAAAAGGAAAGAGCTGAGATAAGTGGGAACAGCTCAGGGCCCCTCGTGTGGCTCTTACCTGTCGGGAGCAGGTGAGGGCCCCCTCAGACAGAATGCCCACAGCGGCGCAGCCCGCGGCCCCCAGCAGGAGCAGCAGCGCAGGGAAGGAGCTCATGATGAGCGCTCAGCCGGAGCCATTCGGTCACACCAGCAGCTAAACACGCAGAAAACAAGGTTCCTACAGTCTGACGCAGGTGTTCACTTCCTGCTGCGCTGCGGGGAAATTCCCCGCGCGCTCTACCGGAACGTCTTCCTCATGCTGCGTTCAATAACCTTTGGAAATTAGTCTTACCGATTCAATTAACCTTACTGTTTATTCTTTTGTCATTTAGATAATCTAAAATGAAGCTTGTTTGAGATTTAATTATCTGCGCATGAATCTTTTAGCATCAGGCAGCAAATGTTTCCAAGTTCAAAGTCCAAAGTTTTATTTTTCCATTTCTCTTTTCGTCACTATTACTGAACAAAACCAGCTGGGTCCATGGTGACAGTGAACGCCTCACAGAGACTTCAGTTATGGAATTTGATCCTGTTATTTTTTTCTATCCACCTGTGAATAAATTATGAACCACTCAGCTGCTTCCTTGTTCAGGATTCTCTGTAAATAGCATTACCTTAGTCTAGTTAAAGTGTGACCTCAGCATGCCTGTTCTGCTTCTTTACTTTCAATATCAAAGCTGTACCTCACTGCTTACAGCTCAGCGTTTAACGCAGCAGTGAAACAGAAAAGTCTGCGTTTAACTGTGCTGAAAGCAGTACTTCAGTCTCACTTTCGGAAAGTAACAAAGTACATTACTGTACTTTATTACTGTAATTAAGTAGTTTGTTTTTTAAAATATCTTTCCTGTAATTAAGTACTTTTTTGAGTACTTCTAACTTTCCTCCTCTTCCAGGAAGCTGTTAGTTCCTTGTTCCTTTTGGTTCAGCTCAGCTTTTTAATCCTCTGCTGCTGTTTTTCATCCATCATGGCGGATAGCAGCCATTAGGACTGAATCTGGACGCCACTGATCTATAGATCTAATGACGTTACACAGATGAAAGAAACTCAAAGTGGCCATGGCCACCCGTGGCTTTATTTATTTATTTCAGTTTATTTCTACAGCACCAATTCACACCATGTCATCTCAGGTCACATTACGGTTCACCAGATCATCCAGTCAGATTGATTCAAAGTTTTCTATCTAAGGAAAACCAGCTGATTGCATTGACTCATTGACTCTTCAGCAATCCCTCACACTAAGCATGCTTGTAGCGACAGTGGAGAGGAAAAACTCCCTTTGAACAGAAAGAAACCTCCAGCTGAACCAGGCTCAGTGTGAGCGGCCATCTGCTGAGGCCGACTGGGGTTCAAGGAGACAGAAGCAGACATAGAAAAAGAAGCATAGATACAAAAGACAACTGTCAACCAGCTCCACAGGCGGCCCCGTCCAGGAAACACACAGCCAGGCAGACGAGCTCCGAGTTTGAGTCTCATATGGACAAGGCCTTGTATTGCTTGGAAACATGCCTTGTCCATATAAGGGCCGGATTTATCAAGATCCAATTTTGCGTGCAGTAATTTGCGCTCGCAAACTGGAATTTTGCGCGAGGGGCTGAACCATGGTTTGCGGGTGATTTAACAAGAGTGATTGCGTAACTTGTGGCAGGCGCAAAACTGTTGGAGACGCCCTATTTAAATGATGGTTTTGCGCGTTTTGTGGTTTGCGGCAAAGTATTTTGTAGTCTGTACAAACTAGTGCATTAAGAAATTTAAATCTTACAGTGACCCCCAACAAAAAAAAAAATAAAAATAAGTAAATATATATATATATATATATATATATATATATATATATATATATATATATATATATATATATATATATATATATATATATATATATATATATATATATATATATATATATTTATAAATTGGCAACCTTTATTCCCTAAGGTGGTATGTGCTGCAGTAAAAAAAAAAAAAAAAAAAAAAAACAGGTGTTTTGTATTGGCCTGTGACTGTGGATGAGATCCCCGCAGCATTTGGCACGTTGCTCCACAGGAGCAGGGGGAGAACCCCGACCCCGTCGGACAGCACTTCTGAAAAAACGAGATTACGAGATCCCAGCTCTCGCTGCAACCGTACGCTGGAATGACCCAGATGCAAAAAAGTGCAATGTTGCAAGGAGTTTTGTGATATCTGGTATTGCGTGGGTCCTCCTTGCGGCTGGCTCCAAATCCATTCGGAGTTCCCCCAACAGCTCCAAAATGGCAATGCTGGATAAACGATATGTTTTGATGATCGTTTCCTCGTTCATTGCAAAAATATTCACACGGAGTGAAAAAATGCGTTCTCTGCGTCTCCTTGCTTCATTTCCATGTCTCCTTCTTGCCACAATAACCGCTGCCATGTGTGCGCAATTACGCATACAGAATATTTGCACCTTCTTTTGAAACGTGTTAAATATAGAGTCAGATACCGTTAGCAAAATTGCGTTCAAGTTTGATAAATCACTTTGCGAGTGCTAAATTAATATATTTACATGTTCTCCTCCCACAAGACGCACTTTAGCGTGTAAACGCCCCATATTGCATATTCATTGCAGAAAAAGTACTAAATGGATCAGAGGCGCTATTTAGCACGTTTTAAAGACCAAATGCTTTTAGCACGCTGTTGATAGATCAGTTTGTACATTTTTTAGCGTGCGCAGTGAAATAGCTCACGTTTTAATACACGCAAACCTTTGATAGATCCGGCCCTAAGACTCAAACTCACTGCGGATCCAGACATTTGAATTGAGAAAGCTTCCTGGAGAGGTGGAGAAACATCTTCGAATCTTGAAAACCAAGTCCAGTGGATATTTTTTGAATTTTTACGGAATGACTATGACCTGGATGACTGAGAACCTTCATCAGCACTTGTGTAGATCAAAATGTTAAAGTTAAAAACAATCCACTGGACTTTGTTTTCCAAATTTGAAGACGTTTCGCTTCCCATCCAGGAAGCTTCCTTAAGTCCAAATGTCTGGTTTGGCGTTAAGTTCCAGGCTTTTATAGAGTAGCCCACGCAAAGCCTTGAACTGGATTAGAAACCATGCAGATTGAAAGTGGAAGACAGCTCCACCCCTTAATAATGGGAGTCGTTGAGGTCGTTATTTGCCTGTAATACCCGATACTGGCCCATTCCTCTGAGAAGACATCCGTTAAGGCTCATTGTTGGCTGAACACTTTTCAGGGATGTTTTTTTCTCTTTTAGCATAAATGGCTTCCTTCACACCCCTTTCAAACCTTCTGTCTAAAATGTTTACATTTTAGATAAAGAATGGGCCAAACTCACCCAGAGCCATAGCTCTGTTGAACCGTCCATTCCACCTACTCTTAGCAGTAAGGATTTTATGTTTTTTTTCATAAATAAGATTGATCTTATTAAAAATAAGATCATAAGCACTCCTCTATCTGCGATTGTATCTGAGGTAGTCATGGAATCTGAACCAGGTTTAGACTGCTTTGATCCAGTTGAACTTTCTGAATTAGCAAAACTATTGTCTTCATCTAAGCCTTCAACTTGTATGTTAGATCCAGTTCCAACCAGGTTATTTAAGGAGGTATTCTCCTCCTCCATTTTAGATGTGATTAATCTATCTCTGTTACAGGGATATGTACCTAAAGCTTTTAAGGTTGCTGTAATTAAACCTCTGCTTAAGAAACCGTCTCTTGACCCAGATGACTTGGTCAATTATAGACCTATATCCAATCTTCCTTTCTGATCTAAAATTCTTGAGAAAGTCGTTGCCAAACAAGTGTGCGATCACTTCCACCATAATGAACATTTTGAAGAGTTTTAGTCTGGCTTTAGAGCTCATCATAGCACTGAAACAGCTCTGGTGAAAGTCACTAATGATATTCTCATGGCCTCAGATAATGGACTTGTATCTGTGCTCGTCCTGTTGGATCTCAGTGCTGCATTTGATCCAGTTGATCATAATATTCTTTTAGAAAGACTTGAATATTTTGTTGGAATTAAAGGAACAGCACTAGACTGGTTTAAATCTTATCTATCTGATCGAATTCAGTTTGTTCATGTTAATGATAGATCTTCAACACGCTCAAAGGTTACCTGTGGAGTACCACAGGGATCAGTGCTAGGACCAATTCTCTTTACTTTATACATGCTCCCAATCGGTAGAATTATTAGACAGCATGGGATTAATTTTCACTGTTATGCTGATGATACCCAGCTATATCTGTCTATAATCCAGATGAAGCTAACCCATTACATAGATTACAGGCATGTCTGAAGACATAAAAACCTGGATGACTCTTAACTTTCTGCTTCTGAATGCAGACAAAACAGAAGTTATAGTCTTTGGACCAGAGTCTCTGAAAAAGAAACTGATTAGCCAGTCACTTCATTTGGATGGGATTAAACTGATTTCGGATAATAAAGAAAAAAAGACAAAGAATAGAATTTAAAATCCTCCTTCTCACATATAAAGCCTTAAATGGCCAAGCTCCATCTGATATCAGAGATCTGATTGTTCCTTATGTTCCTAACAGAGCACTTCGCTCTCAATCTGCAGGTTTACTAGTGGTTCCTAGAATTTCTAAAAGTAGAATGGGAGGCAGATCTTTTAGTTATCAGGCTCCTCTCCTGTGGAACCAACTACCAGTTTTAGTCCGTGAGGCAGACACCCTGTCTACTTTTAAGGCTAGGCTTAAAACTTTCCTTTTTGATAAAGCTTATAGTTAGAGTGGCTCAGGTTATCCTGAGCTATCTCTATAGTTATGCTGCTATAGGCTTAGACTGCTGGAGGACATAGGGACCCCTTTTTCTTCATTCTGCTTCATCCTATCTCTATTCTCCTACTCTGCAGAATCTGTTAGTTCAATCTCTAACCTTCTGCTCTCTCTTTTTCTTATAGTAGCTTCATCTGGTCTGTCCCTGTTTGGCTGTGACTCCATCCTGGAGAGAAATATCAGCTGTGCTGCTGCCATCAACACCTTTGTTTCTAGATGTTGGAGCTTGGCCTGTTTTCCAGTGTAGTCCTGTTTCTCTGACTGTGACTAACTGGATGTGCTCTCTTCATCCTCTGACATGGGAGCTGGCTCGGAGCTCGTCTGCCTGGCTGTGTGTTTCCTGGACGGGGCCGCCTGTGGAGCTGGTTGACAGTTGCCTTTTGTATCTATGCTTCTTTTTCTATGTCTGCTTCTGTCTCCTTGAACCCCAGTTGGCCTCAGCAGATGGCCGCTCACACTGCAATCAGCTGGTTTTCCTTAGATTGAAAACATTGAACGAATCTGACTGGATGATCTAGTTTAATTATCTCTGTAAAGTGACCTGAGATGACGTGTTCTAAATTGGAGCTATAGAACTAAACTAAATCTAAATTAAAAGTAGTGGCTCTGTTGAAAGTCCTCAATATCCACATGAGCTCAGATACTGGACTTGGGACTGTATTTGTCCCGTTAGATGTCAGACCTGTATGACCGAGTCAGTGACATTAGGGACCTGTTTTTCTCTTCATGGTTGCTACATCTGACCTGGTTTTCGACCAGATGTCCTTGAGGGCATCGGCTTGGCTTCTGCTACCAATAACTTCATATCCTTCTTCTATAGAACATGAACTTTTTCTGTCTAATAGTGATGAAACCAGAATCTACATGCTGGGTTTGGCTCAGCTTTTTACCGAGTCGCTGGATGTGCTTTCAATCTTCTAAACAGGTTTACTGACTCAGAGCTCATCTGATTAAAGGTAATTCTTTTGTCAATGAAGCCATATAAAGAGCTACGACTGTAGCTAACCTACCTTTCTCACATATAGAAAGTACACCTAGATCAATGCTTGTATGTTCTATTTGTGTACGCACCATCGTCTCTCTGAAGCAAATCATGACAAACGAATAGCTTTAATAAAAAATGGAATAGAACCATTTTAATATTTTAAATGGTTTGGATGAAAACACTAGTGAGGTAACATTCCCTTTATATACACCGATTTAAAATCCTTTAGGAATTCAAGACCAGAAAAAAAAACAAGGACACAAATGGAAGTTTGTTTCATTTTATGAGGATATATTATAATTATCATCTTCAGTTTTATTTGAAATCAATGTAACAGCTTTAAAAAGCATTTTGAGTAATAAAAAAACGATAAAAGTAGTAAAATAGTGACAATTATAAGGTTAATAATTATAAAATCTGTAAAAAGGAAGAAAAATATTAAATACAAGAGAGAGGAAATAATGTTGTATAATGACTTCTATGTTATAATCAGCTTATAATCTTTGGCATATAGAATGTGGATTAACTTCAAGCAGCAAGGTTCAATGTTAACATGATATATCATATTCCTACTGAGGTGGGATTATCTCTGGATTATATGTGACTCACTGCAAAGGAGGCAGCAGGAGAAACTCATTGATAAATGTTCATTAGATGTTCTGTAGGTAACAGAATCAGCCAGTAATGAGAAGGGAAGCAATAATAAAAAGCTTTCAAGTGGAAATAAAGAGAGGAAAAACATCTGGCTGGTGGGTATTCTCAGATGACTGTTTATCAGCGTTAATCTGAGACCGAAGACGTCCTTCAGAGGATCAGGAGGTCTGGATGGAAGCTCCTGCTCTGTAAACAGAGAGCGAAGATGTTCAAACACAGATTACAGGCTAATCAAGTTAGCCATCATGTCTAGATACGTTAACAAGTCTGAAGGAAACTCGTAGCGACACACAAACATTTAGATTAATGCAAGCGATTAATGCGGATTCATGCGTTTCCATGACAACCACCTACAACACATGCAGCAGACGTGATCTTCATGTAAAATCCTAGACCATGAACATTAACCTGTTCTCATCTAAAGCTGCAAACTGGGTCAGAATTCTGATTCTGCGTTCACACCAAAAGCGTTTTGGGCGTCAAAGCGTCTGATTTACATGTAAAGTTTATGTGTTACGGCGTCCAGAGGACCAGCAGCGCGTCCGAGCGTTCAACGCTAGAGTTCAGGAAATTGAACTTTGCGCTGGACACCGGGGCATCAACCAATCACAGAAGCTGATCCAGGAGGTTTTTGGTTGAGAAAGAAACTACCTGGCAGCTGTCATTGCTTCTGCAGATGAACAATAAATAGATAAATATAAAGGAGTTAAACTCTAAAGGTTAAATAAAGCAGGTAGAATGGATTGTTATGTAGAAGGAACAGAAAGCAGCTCTGATCATTATTGCTGCACTAAAACATTTTTTTTTACCAATTATGGAGAAACAGATTATAAATACCCAAATTAACTAGAAATGTTAAAACCTGCTGATGAAAAATATTAGATTATATACTCTGGTTGTTGTAGTTTTTACCTCAAACCTTAAAAACCTTCTATTCACTTCCAGCCGCTATGAACAGCAGCAGGAAATCCCCCACAGGCTGCCTGCAGCAGAGAGCTTTCAGCGGGGATTCCCAGCGCTGCCTCCTGGTGGTATGCTGGAGGTGTGGAGCTCCCAGTAAGAACTGCAGATTATAGTGGGATACTGCTGGCGAAGATTCTCTGTCATCCAGGTCATCGTCATTCCAAAAAAGTTAAAACAATCCACTGAAGACGTTTCTCTTCCATCCAGGAGGCTTTTTCAGTTGAAAATGTCAGAAATAGAGTTTAGTTCCAGGCTTTATAGAGTGGACCAAAAAAGCCCTGGAACTAAACGCTATTTCTGACATTTTGAATTGAAAAAGCTTCCTGGATGGAAGAGAAACGTCTTCAAACTTGGAAACAAAGTCCAGTGGATTGATTTTTAACTTTTTGGAATTTTAACGGGATTATAATCCTGATGAACTGATTAACAGAGATGGGCTTTTTCCACTTAAAAACGTGTTAAAACTATTTTTCCATCTCACAAAATAGATAAAGCCAAGCAGGTCTCTAGCTTGAAGCTACAGAACAGAGCAGATAAACATCCAGAGCGTCGAGCAGCCAGAGCTTTGAATCAACTGGACCAGTTTGATCAAACTTCCACATTTCTGTGTTTCAGTCATTTTGACGTTGAGATTGCGTTGCGTTTGAACGCATCATAAGACTGGACTGTTTGTCCTAATATAACATGAACATTCCTGAACATTTGATAATTACCTTTCATTCTTTGAAACACTTAACAGTTATATTCATTTAACAGTCATCTGTTAGGATACATACCAATTCTAGTCTTGTTCTATATAGTGAGGCCATTTTTAACCCTTTCTAGGCCCCTCAGACTAACACTAACTACTGCCAGAGCATTGCTCACCCTCAGCCCTAAAGCAAGATGTTCTCACTTTGCAACAACTGGTCCTAAATTTAATGGTGAAATTGGAAAAATGGTCCTCACTCTGAGGGCTAGACAGGTACACACACACACACCAACACACACAGGTATTTCAGTCAGTTTGAGGACTTTTCTGCCGTCTCATTTTATCATTTTAGCTGCTTTGTTTCTAGGAGCGATTTTTTAAGCTGCATTAAACATTAATGTTCTCCTGAAGTAGAAAGGGTCGTACCTTTGCTCTGCATCACTTTACTGCTTTGTCCTCTTCTGAGCGCTACACTGCAGCTCAGCCAGGGGCCTCGGATGCTTTGAGGACTCTATGCCGCTCTGAGGAAAGAGGCAGGATTCACTCATCTGATCGAGGATAGATTTTTTTAATTGTGATGACCTTTGACACACACCATGTTTCTCTTCCTGACTTGGTTGCTGTGGGCCACCGTACTGGGAAGAGGTGTGTGACGAGGCTCTTCTCTCTGAACAACCGTGTGTGAAGTTTGCAGCTTCCTGTAAAGAGACGGTTTGTTAAGGAAGGTTTAATTACAGCCTGCAGTCGTATCCCTGTAACAGAGAGATGAATCTTTGGAAAGCGGAGGAGGAAATACGAGGGAATACTTCCTAAAATAACTTGGTTAGACGTGCAGCTAATTGTACTTTACAAGTGAAAGGCTTAGATGAAGGGAATACCTTTGGCTCTAAACTAGGGGTGAGCATTTATCGGTTTCTCAATGTGAGAAGAACTTTTAATTTATTGTCTAAACGATAAATTAGAATCAATGAATAAAAACTCCAGAAACTGAGTGAATTATCAGAATTCTTCTTTTTCTTTAATTTTTTTTCATTGGGGTATTTCCATATTTGAATAATAGGATTAAATGCGATTACTAAGAAATGTTAATGATATAAATCAGACTTCTTTATGTAACTGGAAAGACGCAAAAGTTATGCGTTTATATTCTTCAGGAGTTTTACTTGTGCTTGTCAGGCTCCTCTCCTGTGGAACCAACTACCAGTTTTAGTCCGTGAGGCAGACACCCTGTCTGCTTTTAAGGCTAGGCTTAAAACTTTCCTTTTTGATAAAGCTTCTAGTTAGAGTGGCTCAGGTTATCCTGAGCTATCTCTATAGTTATGCTGCTATAGGCTTAGACTGCTGGAGGACATAGGGACCCCTTTTTCATCATTCTGCTTCATTCTATCTCTATTCTCCCACTCTGCAGAATCTATTAGTTCAATCTCTAACGTTCTGCTCTCTCTGCTTTTTCTCATAGTAGCTTCATCTGGTCTGTTCCTGTTTGGCTGTGACTCCATCCTGGAGAGAAATATCAGCTGTGCTGCTGCCATCAACACCTTTGTTTCTAGATGCTGGAGATCGGCCGGTTTTCCAGTGTGGTCCTGTTTCTCTGACTGTGACTAACTGGATGTGCTCTCTTCGTCCTCTGGCATGGGAGCTGCCTTGGAGCTCGTCTGCCTGGCTGTGTGTTTCCTGGACGGGGCCGCCTGTGGAGCTGGTTGACAGTTGCCTTTTGTATCTATGCTTCTTTTTCTATGTCTTCTTCTGTCTCCTTGAACCCCAGTCAGCCTCAGCAGATGGCCGCTCACACTGAGCCTGGTTCTGCTGGAGGTTTCTTCCTGTTAAAAGGGAGTTTTTCCTCTCCACTGTCGCTACAAGCATGCTTAGTGTGAGGGATTGCTGAAGAGTCAATGAGTCGATGCAATCAACTGCCAATGATCTCATTTTTAAAAGAATCTAGACCTGTATGGATCAATGGGAAGTTTAGATAACATGCAGAAGCAGGGCTGGGAGAGGCTACAGCTGACCGAGGCTAGCTAGGCTAACTGCGGAGGATCATAGCCAACAGGAGGACAGAAAGGAAGAGACATTTACAACCAGAAAATGTTGATGCATGAGGCCCAATGACTCATAAGCAGCAGTGACATACCTAATGGCTGAGCTCAGGCACTGGTACCAGTCATTAAAGTCGTCCTGGTTGCTGGACATCAGCAGGAGCTTCACTTTGGGGAAGGTTAACTGGAAGGAGATTAGACAAAAAAAGAAGTTGATGGCAGGATGATGTCTGAGGATAGATGTGAGGAAATGTTCTTTTTAACAGAATGTTTTAACAGCAGGATGTCTTAACATGCTGCAGTTTTATGTTTGTACAATCTAAATAAAACCAGAAACAAATTACAGAAAAGTTTCTGATCAAATTATCCTGTCGGTTATTATTTACTGATTTTATTTTTTATTATACATAGTGTAAAAGTTTATTTTCGAGCTAAGCATGACGCGAGAGAGTTCACTGTTACTGTAGCTTTACTGCACTGCCGTAAAGGCTGCTCACACATATAGATAGCCAGGAACGTCACCGAGCAGATAAGCATTCTGATTGGCCCACACTAAGTCAGTACGGTGGCCAAACAATGCATAGACATTTATGAAATGATCTACACATAGTTAACCTGTTTATAACACACATCAGACCTTCATATAAATGTCCATCCATATAAATACCTATGTAAATAACCCGGTAAAATAATCCTAGAAAAAAAGAAAAGCTGTCATATGTGGACGCACTCTATATATCTATGAGCTGATGTAACGAGTAAATTTCTCCACTGTGAGATCAATAAAGTCAATCAATAGATAGTATTAACTTTGCCTCCAGTTCCTGTTATACTTCTATATGACCTCCAGAGATATTCATACCTCCACTGTCTGCCCCCTGGCAAAGTTAGAGTTTCAGACAAACTGTAATTAACTCCTCCTTGCAGAGGAAAGAGTAATCTATGCTCCTCCAGGATTGGGCAAAGACTCTCCTAGCGTCAGTCTGCTTCTCTGATGAGCTGAATTCCACGTAGACAGAGTTGAACTTTACAATAAACCCTTCAGATAAAAACACTAGATAATATCTTTCCAGAATCCCTTTTTCAATAAAACGCTAAGTGCAAAAGTCAGGATTTAAAATAGATTGTGACCTACCGATCTTTGTGTTAAAATTTCCAACGCTGACTCATCTAGTGCCTCTCTATCCTACGGTGACCCACAAGGCTCAGTCTTTTCTCTGTATTTGCCACTACTTGGTTCCAATCTTGATTTCCATTTTTATGCTGATGACTGCGATATCTATTTGCCCCTAAAGCAGGGAGATTGTTTTTTTAGTAAAATCTTTATTGAACGGGTTAGACGACATCAAACTTTTTACATTTTAACCAGAAGAAAACTGAGGTTATAGTGTTTGGACCCAATTGCCCTGGTGACTCCACAACTATAGATCCAATTGCCCTGGTGACTCCACTACTATAGACCTAATTGCCCTGGTGGCTCCACTACTATAGACCCAATTGCCCTGGTGGCTCCACTACTATAGACCCAATTGCCCTGGTGACTCCACTACTATAGACCTAATTGCCCTGGTGACTCCACAACTATAGACCTAATTGCCCTGGTGGCTCCACTACTATAGACCTAATTGCCCTGGTGGCTCCACTACTATAGACCTAATTGCCCTGGTGGCTCCACTACTATAGACCCAATTGCCCTGGTGGCTCCACTACTATAGATCCAATTGCCCTGGTGGCTCCACTACTATAGACCCAATTGCCCTGGTGGCTCCACTACTATAGATCCAATTGCCCTGGTGACTCCACTACTATAGACCTAATTGCCCTGGTGGCTCCACTACTATAGACCTAATTGCCCTGGTGACTCCACTACTATAGACCTAATTGCCCTGGTGGCTCCACTACTATAGACCCAATTGCCCTGGTGGCTCCACTACTATAGACCTAATTGCCCTGGTGGCTCCACTACTATAGACCCAATTGCCCTGGTGGTTCCACTACTATAGACCCAATTGCCCTGGTGACTCCACTACTATAGACCTGACCCCAGGGGAGTGGTAGCCTAGTGGTTAGAGTTCAAACCCCACTCCCACAGACTGCCAATCTGGGTCCCTGAGCAAGACCCTTAACCTCACACTGCTCCCCGGACCCCGCAGGATGGCAGCCCACTGCTCCCCAGGCGCCACACGATGGCATCCCACTGCTCCCCAAGGAGATGGGTAAGATGCAAAGGTAGATTTCTCCAATGTGAGATTTAAAAAAGTTAAACTGTTATTATGAAACCACATTCTAAATCGACCGTCACAAATTTGGGTTTCAGTGGACAATTGGCAAAACTATAACCTTTTCTTTCACGGCAACCCTTTGAAACCGTCATCCATGCCTTTACTTCATCTTCATTGGATTACTGTCACGGACTATATGTTGGGGTCCGTCTTTCCTGTCTCACTTACAGCTGGTGAAAAACTCCCTCACTCCACTGGCTGCCTGTTCACTTTAGAGTTGATTTTAAAATTATTTGTTTTTTTGTTTTTAAGTGCATAAATGACGTTGCCCCATCTTAGCTCTCTGAGCTTCTTGGTCCCTCAGGTCAGCAGCTCCTGTTGGAACCGTGGTTTCAGAGGAAGCTTAGAGGGGGCCAGAGCCTCCTCTATCACTGCCTCTCCTGGAATAGCCTCTCGCGGCTCATTAGGAAGGCTCCTCCACTGACGAATTTTAAAACACGGCTTGTTAACATTGTTGTTTTATTTAGCCTTCTTATTATTGCCTTTTTTAATATATATTGTTATGTTGTATTTTATTCTTTTATTGTGTTTTTTTATTATTTTTAGCCATGTTCAGCACTTTTGATAACAGCTGTAGCTGTTTTAAAGCACTATATAAACAAAGATGATGGTATGGACTCCATACTGAAGTTTACTCAGATCAACAACCCAAAAATGGAAATAAGCCAAAACAATCCTGATATATAAAACTTTTCTTCATGCAGAAGAAAGGCCCTAAAACCATCAATGGTCCATTGAAAGCGCTGCATCACATCTCACTGTGTGTTTAAATGTGCCACCTGATCAGTGTTATTTAAAGGAACTATGGGGCGGAAAGGGGAAAATGGACACGTCCAGCTGGATCGGCCTGTTTGATTCAATTCAATTCAATTCAGTTTATTTATATAGCGCCAAATTCACAACACATGTCATCTCAAGGCACTTTACAGTTCAACCAGATCAAATTGATACAAAGTTTTCTATCTAAGGAAAACCAGTTGATTGCATTGACTCATTGACTCAAATACAATCCCCCACACTAAGCATGCTTGTAGCGACAGTGGAGAGGAAAAACTCCCTTTTAACAGGAAGAAACCTCCAGCAGAACCAGGCTCAGTGTGAGCGGCCATCTGCCGAGGCCGACTGGGGTTCAAGGAGACAGAAGCAGAGATACAAAAAGCAGCTGTAAAAGGCGGCCCCGTCCAGGAAACACACAGCCAGGCAGACGAGCTCCAAGGCAGCTCCCATGCCAGAGGACGAAGAAAGCACATCCACTCAGTCACGGTCAGAGAAACAGGACCACACTGGAAAACAGGCCGATCTCCAACATCTATAAACAAGGGTGTTGATAGAAGCAGCACAGCTGATGTTTCTTTCCAGGATGACGTCACAGCCAAACAGGAACAGACGAGGCAAAGCTACTCTGAGGAAAAGCAGAGAGAGCAGAAGGTTAGAGATTGAACTAACAGATTCTGCAGAATAGGAGAACAGAGAGAGAATGAAGCAGAATGATGAAATGGGGGTCCCTATGTCCTCCAAAAGTCTAAGCCTATAGCAGCATAACTATAGAGATAGCTCAGGATAACCTGAGCCACTCTAACTATAAGCTTTATCAAAAAGGAAAGTTTTAAGCCTAGCCTTAAAAGTAGACAGGGTGTCTGCCTCACGGACTAAAACTGGTAGTTGGTTCCACAGGAGAGGAGCCTGATAACTAAAAGATCTGCCTCCCATTCTACTTTTAGAAATTCTAGGAACCACTAGTAAACCTGCAGATTGAGAGCGAAGTGCTCTGTTAGGAACATAAGGAACAATCAGATCTCTGATATAAGATGGAGCTTGGCCATTTAAGGCTTTATATGTGAGAAGGAGGATTTTAAATTCTATTCTTGATTTAACAGGAAGCCAATGAAGAGAAGCCAGGACAGGCGAGATATGATCTCTCTTTTTAATTTTCATTAGAACTCTGGCTGCAGCATTTTGGATCAGCTGAAGGCTTTTAACTACAGTTTGTGGACTTCCTGATAGTAAAGAATTACAATAGTCCAGCCTTGAAGTAACAAATGCATGGACTAGTTTCTCAGCATCACCCCTGGACAGGATATTTCTAATTTTTGCAATGTTCCTCAGATGAAAGAAGGAAATTCTAGAAACCTCTTTGATGTGGGATTTAAATGACAGGTCCTGATCAAAAACAACACCAAGATTTTTTACTTTATTATCTGAAATCAGTTTAATCCCATCCAAATGAAGTGACTGGCTAATCAGTTTCTTTTTCAGAGACTCTGGTCCAAAGACTATAACTTCTGTTTTGTCTGCATTCAGAAGCAGAAAGTTAAGAGTCATCCAGGTTTTTATGTCTTCAAGACATGCCTGTAATCTATGTAATGGGTTAGCTTCATCTGGATTTATAGACAGATATAGCTGGGTATCATCAGCATAACAGTGGAAATTAATCCCATGCTGTCTAATAATTCTACCAATTGGGAGCATGTATAAAGTAAAGAGAATGATTCAAAAAACTGATTTTCTCTCCTACCTGGCTGGGGATTAAATATATCATAATGGCTGCTCTGCAAAAACAATCTAGAAATAAGTCAATATTGAATTTAAATAAGTGTATTTATGAATGAGTAATTTTACCTTTAAAATTAGATAATCAGATAATATGCACTAGAAATAAGACAATGCAATTGATTTTTTTATTCATTTTAAATGTAAATTGTCTTGTTCCATTTGCAAAATGTCTCACTTTCCTCCGTAATTCAAGAAAAAATGCACTTATTTTAAGAAAAAAATTTATATTTAAATTATAATATTTTTCAGTGTAACATAAGATATCTTCAGAGTCTGACTGATGGACTAATCATACTAACAATATAAGATCACAAAACTATATTGTTTCTAAAAGTGGCTTCATTCAGGG